CACAAATGACTCATCACTACTTTTGATACCTGTTTTAAGTTCAGATTCTGCCTGCTGGGTTGGGGGTCGGCATACACTCAGCTTTAAAATCCCTCTGTGTTCTTGGCTAGCTTTGCGTTAGCATGCTGTCTGTGCAAATGTTCTGTTATCAGTAAAATCCATTTGTTTCTGTCTTGGATGCAGTTTCCACTTAACTATTAAGCTCTTGTCCTTCTGTGCTATAAAAATACAAGTAATGTGCATATCTCCTCAAAAGCTGTAGCTCTGCACACAAACTGAAATCAAATGATTGTAGCCCATTTACGCAGGGGAAAAGGCTGTTTGTTTGATGTTTTGTTTTTTATTTTTTATTCCTCGGCCAGATAACTGGATAATCTTTGTAACACAAGTAACAACATAATTAAAAATGATTAAAAAAAAGATTTAAATGACTGAATTTAATAGTAATCTGTTACTTTACTGTTACTGAAAAATGTAATGCAATTAGAGTAATGCATTACATGTAATGCGTTACACCCAACACTGGTTACCCAACACTTTGTATGTAACCACAAACTATTATCAATATTATCTTTGTCATGTCTTCTTCCAAGAAACCAGTAATGTTGAGTCCTGTCAGTCCTCAAAGTTCAGTAGTAGCCATATGTTGGCAATAACCAGCTGATAAGTTTGAGTCAGTTTTGAGTCTCGGGTATAACTAGTCAAGCAGAAATCCACAACAACTGCCTCAAGGCATTTTACATTGTAAGTTAAAGACCCTACAACAATACAATATAGTTCAAATCAAGAGTTGGCTTGAGGTAAAAGGTTTTTTGGGAGATGAGGTAACTGTAGCATTGGAAAAGACGCCGTGAGTTTAGGAACGACTCGTATAATTAGACCGGAAATTCTTGGTGAATTGCTTTACAGCATAGTATTGCTTTATTGAGCATCCCTGCCTCAGGGTCGATAGTCAGCAAAAAGAGTGTGCAAAGATTAAATATGAATGACAAAATGAAACAAAAACTGAAACACGGAGAACTTGAAGGAAAAAAAAACACTATAAGATTATTATTATTGTGAAAAAGTCCTGACATAATGGAACAGATGCTGTCGCTGTAACTAAAGAAGCTGTGGTTCAGCTTGGGCCACTACAGTCAAAAGGATTGTTATTTTCGTCAGCACTGTCTGTTATGTGACCTCCCCACCCAGAGCAGCAACAAGACCCCAACACTGAACAGAACAGACATTATTAACAAGGCGTTGGATTGCAGCTTAAATAACCTGTGGTGTTAGGGATTTTCCTGTTGGATGCCTGAAGCGGGATAGTACTCAGATCAGCTGATCTCGCTGATTTCACCTTGAACAGAAATCATTATAAGGCATCCATAAGGTTGCTGTGGGCAGCTGTCAGCTATTCTCCAAGGTTTTGTCATGTTTATGTCACTCTTTCTTAAGAGCAGGTAGCTGAGCTGCCCACTCACCAGTTTCAGCCCCTATTACCAGTAAAATGGCATTTAAAAGAATTTAAAAACTGCTCTAGACCTAATCAGATTTAGCTTAATGCTGGGCACT